TCCTTAAACTGGAGCACTCTTGTTCTTGGCCTTCAGACTCAAACTGAAACATTGGCTCTTCTTGTATCTTGAGTTTGCTAGCTTGCCCACTCCAGGACTTCTTAGCTTCTGAAATTGTGTAAGCCAGACCATTATGATATATGTGTCTTGTGGGTTCTGTTTCTCTGGAGAGCCCTAACGCACCAGTCCTGTAGATCTTCTCTTCGGTGTCGCCCAGCTCCTCTTTATAATTTTGACTGCCGCCATGACAGCTCAGGATCTCCTCCACTCAGGCTGGCTGTCACCCTCACCTCTTCGCATCTCCCTGCCTCCTGCACCTCCCTTTCCAACCTTTGCTCTCATCATTATTGGATTACTCTCCCCCAAATCCCTATTCTAATCACTCAAATCCTAATGATTCTTCATCGCTAAGAAAAACAATCAAAGCTTCTTAGGACGATATTCAAAGTCACCATAATTCAGCCGCAACATGGCATTCCAGGCCTTTCTCCCACAGAGTGTTTAAGAAGAATGTACTACATACCATTTTCTCATGTGTATGGTTTTGCTCACTTTCTTCTAGCTAACTCCCTAACCCTCTTCTGTCCTATAATCACTGCCTACCCAAAAGCTTGTCCCTCAAGGTGTAGCTCAAATTCTATTCCCATAGAAAGAATTCCATGATATGCCTAAGGTAGAAGATTCTCTCTCCTTTCTTTAAACCCATAACTTTGTTTTTTTCCTTATAGCTTTATATTTTCTCATTCCAACTTATATGCTCATCCTTGCCCCCTTACATTTTTAAAAATTTATTTTACAGATTTAATCACCGTACATCAACACAGCTTATAAAATGAGCTTTCCCAGCGTGAACACACTACACACTAGTCCAGTTAAAGATGTCATACACACTGTCGTCAGCAGAGAGTCCTCCACTTCTGCATCTCTTAGATGTCCTGCCTCTTTGTTTTTCTCTTGATTCCCTCCCTCTCACCCTCTCCCAGCCCCCAACCTCTAAACTCGTAGCTTTTCTTTTACACGTTTTCCAGATTCTGGTTTGTACTGTATTTATTTGTATATGTCTTCTTCTTCTTTTAAAATTTGGTATAGGGTACTTGTGCTCACTGGAGAGAGATAGAGAAAGAAAAGGAAAGTGAGAAAGCACCTCTCAATGGAGATGACCGTGCCACAATCCCTTCTCCTCCAGCATACTCTCAGGGTTTGGGGCAAACATGCACATATGCCCAGCATGTTTTCCAAGTCACCAGGTCCGGGACTCCAATCACACAGCTGGCCACATGGGATCCAGCTGCCTTAATCATCACGCCATCTGGCTGGCCCTGTTTATATTCTCTTTTCCTTCATCCTTGAGGGTAGAAAGTGTGTCTAATTTATCATCATGCCCCTCAAGTACTAATATAGTGCCTCTGTTGTTGGATAAATTAGTATTATACCAAGTAAAAAGAAATTTGAAAGTGAAATGTGGCCTAAAAGCCTTATACAAGACCTCACAATTGAATTTAGGATACAAATGATACCTGGGTAATCCATCTGTAGCAAACACCAAAGCATTATTATTTAAAAAGCTGACTGCAATATATGCAGGTTACCTTAGGCAGTGTTTCTTAGTGTTGCATAACCACATGCCTGGCTTCACCCCAGACCAACTGGTTAAGTCAAAAACTCTGGGGGTGGGATCTACGTGCTAACTTTTATTTTGTTTTATATATTTTTAGTTTTTACTATAGGGTACATGCATTCACTAGAGAGAAACAGAGAGAAAGTAACAGCGAAAGTGAGAAATCACTCACGGGGGAATAGCCACACCATAATCCCTTCTCCTCCATTCTCCTCTTGGAATTTTGAGCATGCATGCACACACACACTTGGTGTGTTTTTCAAGCCACGAGTTCCAGAACTTGAACCACAAAGTCGGCCATGTGGGATCCAGCTGCCTTAACCACCATGACTCGGACTGGTCCTCTTTTATTTATATTTTATCATCTCAGCTAATTCTAAAATTTCAGTCAGAGTTGAAAATCACAGGCTATAGGGAATGGCAGGTATATTGATCTCAGTTTTTACATAGAAATGGCCAGGAGTGATCTTCTGTTGATGAAGATACTTACATCGATCTTTACGTGTACAAAAGCAAAGCAAGGCAAGGCTTATGCAACTCTGTGGAAGAATGCCAATAACTAGCATTTATTGCACGTACTCATTAATTCTTATGTCACCCTATGAAGTAAACGCTGGTATGGGCTTCCTTTCACAAGTGAGAAATCTGAGGCTCAGAGAATGAAGAGGACTAGCGGAGATGTGAAGATAGGAACCCTGACTCTGGAGCTTCAGAGCAGGATGGAAGGGACCTGGAGCCTGGTGACTTAGCAGTGTGTGTGTGTAGTTGTATGTGTGTGTGTGTGGGGGGGGTCATGCATGGGGCTTTTTCTACAGGGCCCAAACACAGTGATTGGAAGAACATGGGGTTGAGGGTTGCAGAAGAAAAGAAAGTAAAAGACAACTGTGCTGTAAGAAAAGAGAGGCCTTGGAGACATGGCAGCAGACTGGGTCCAAGGAGAGAAAATTCTTGGTAAGCGTCTCCTGAGAGAGAGTAGAGCCTGTGGGCTTTAGGGACGCAGCAAAGTATGTTGAGTGCTAAGTGTTCTTTTCTGTCTTGTGACTCTCCTACGATCATCTCGGCTCCAGCTAAGTTAGAGGTACCTTGGGAAAGTGCCCACATTGGAGTTGGGCCAGCACAAACGTGTTGGACTCTCCATGTAGTTCCTCCCTGAGGCTGGAGGGCTGGGCCCTGCTAGTCCAGAATCCCAGGTGACAGTCACCAGGCAAGTGTGCAGTGAGGAGCCAGGCAACAGGGAGAAGAACAGGGTGGAGTGACACAGAAAAGGTCCTTTTCCCCAACTGTAACAGAAGTAGCAGCCTTTGGTTAGGAAGGGCAACTGGACAAGAGACAGTGGCCATGCGGGTCTCTGGGCTGCTCTGCCATTGTTACTGACACACACGTTTAAACGGCGGCTTTAAACGTGGGCTGAGCACATGCCTGCTTTGGAAGGAAGCCACACTCCCCTGTACCTTCGGAAGGCTGGATGGGAGGGGCAGATGCCAGCCATGTTTGAGTGGGGTTATCTGTGTGGAGTCCATCTAAGCTGGAACTGCTGACCCTCAATTTCCCTATCTACAAAACAGAAATTTAAAAATACGGACCTCATGCCACTGCTGTGAAAATGAACTTCAGTTGGCTGGAAGGCAGGGGACACAGGGCTTGGGTCTAGAGGATGTCACTTTTCTTGCTCCCTTGGCCCTGACTCCTAACTCCCTCCCCCGCTAGCATGGAGGGAGATGAGCCTTGGGAAGTTAGATCCTACCTTTGGTCAGGGAGTGAATTCCCAGCTTGACTTGTGAGAAGTTGCCGCTTCCAATTTCTCCTCGAATGCGGTAGAAGCCTATGCGCTTCCCCAGTGTGATTTCCCTCACCACCTTCTCATCCTGGGTCATGTCCAGCGTCAGCTTCTCGAAGGGTGTCAGATGGCGGGGCTGGCCCTCCCCGGCCTCCTTGCTGCAGTCGGTCTGAGAGCCACCGTCCACACTGTCGCGCCGATCCCACCTGGAGTAGTGGGGGTTCAGCAGCCCGCCTCCATTCGTGCACACCGCCGTCATCGTCCACCGCAGGCTCACGTCTTCATCTCAGCGAAGAGGCTCTGATCAAGGGCAGGTGGCCGTAAAGCGGAAGAGGCCCAGTGGCGGGGGGATGCCAGTGGAGGACGGCTGAGCCCAGGGTCCACGAGCTGTCCTGAGCGCTGGCCTAACTCCCCCGGCTGAGCAGCCTCAGGGTGAGAAGCAGAGGCAAACGCGGACGTCTGCCCAGCCCAGCTTCACCTCAGTTGAGACATTTCCACCTCCCTCCCCTCTGGTTGAACTAAGCTGTAACGGTGCAGTGAGGCACACGCCAGTGGCCGTAGCTCTTCCCTGGTCGGACTCCGGGAACCTGGAGGAAGGTGCAGGCTGATGCTCTGCGGTCGGTGGCTGGTCCCAGGACAAAGGCTGCGGTTTGCTATTTCCTTAGTTGGCCAGGGAACCGTGCACTCTGGTGTGGAAAAGCCCCTGGGAGGCCCCCAAGTCTCCGCTGCTGGTGCTTATCTCCGACCCTCTTCATTTTGTGCTTCCCTTGTTGAGTCCCAGGGCACTGGAGACCTAATAATCTGGACCCCAGGAAAGAAGGAACTGGCAAATCAGCCTTCTGGTCACACGGTCAGCTGGAGGATTAAAACCCTGCAATGTCACTTCAGCCGGCCTTTATTTAGATGAGCCTTCCTCTAAGCCCTGAGCTGTCTCAAAAATTTGGCAGGTGCTGGTTCATCCTAAGAACAGACAATAAAAAAATAATAATAAAAAAAAAAGTATTAGCCCATGCTAATGTGCCGTATGGGATTTTTAATGAACTTGTGAAACTGCCTGCTGAGCACTGAGCTAAAAGCACTCCACAAACTTCAGTTAGGACTCACGACAGTAGTGGATGTTTGATTTCAGTATGTTTGATTACTTAGGATTTAGGAAGGAGAAAATTTTACATTAAAAACACCCCTCAATCTACATTTTACAAAAACCCATACAGTCTATAAATATTTCTAGCAAAATGATGTTTCTCAAAGTTTAGGAAAATAGACATACTTCCTTGGGTTGTTTGATAATCAGATTTTTAAAAATAATGATAGGGTACCAATGATGACAATAAAGATTCTCTAATACTATCAGTTGTCAAAATGTCCTATATTGAGTTGAATAAGAATACTGTGCTTGCTCTGCAACTTTACATCCTTAGACCACCTTTCCTATGCCGGATGATTCCACTCTTCTTTCTTATGTCATTCTAGGACAAAGGCTGATTTTCCCCCTAGGCCTGTTTTGTAGTTGTTCTGTCCTTTGTTTCTAATATTTCTGCTGAGATGTCAGCCCCTCCAGCGGCAGCATCTTATTTTGAAGATGTGGAACTGAGAGTAAACAAGTCTACGGCATCGTCGGTGATAAGCAATACTGCCCGGTTATAAAGTTTTCCGGATTTTCCCCCTTGTTTTGCCATCTCCAGTAGAAAGTAACTTCTTCCTTTCTTAATCTCTATAGCATTTGGTGCATTTTCTAAACTGTCTCATTTCCAGGGAGGTAGGAACCAGGCTGAATTTGTCTGTCCCACTCTCTTCCTTTCTCCCTCATGGATGGTGATATCCCGCATATAGAAAGTGTTCACAAAATGTGTGTTGGCTTTCATTTTTGCCCTTGAGCATTCCGAACCAAAAATTTGACTGAAAATAGGAGAGACTGCCTTGGAAACGTAGATTTCCAACTCTGCTTCCCAGCATTACACTTCAGCATAGGGCTGCCTGTATTGTTCCTGGGGCTTAAGTCCAGGGTTGCCAAATACACGTAAATAAGGATAAAGACGGTAAAGAGGAGGTTGCTGCCCAGCACTGCTCCTGTTTCTAGATGGGGGCGAGGAAGCTGAAAGGATGAAGGACAGAGGCTTAAAAAGGGGTGGGTGGTAAAAACTAAATACATCCCATAAATTGCTCTGTTATCTGATTAGGGTGTTTTATGTGTTACGATTTTTTAAAGTTTATTTATTTATCAGAGAAAAAAAGGTCCCCTTGACAGTCTCGTCATACAGCATTACCCACTTGCCTTTCCCCACTAGCCTCCCAACCAGTCAGGTGTGCTCAACACACTCCGGTCAACCTTGGATCCGAACCCCAGGCCTTTCCATATGACTCCAGTCACACACAGCAGCACCCTACCCCCTGTGCCACAGCTAGGCCTGATTAGGATGTTTTAAAAACAATTTAAAGATAAATGATCCTTAATTAGGATAAGGAAAATCTAAGTCACTGAATTTTAATCATCCTGGGGTCAAAGACTCCTTTGAGATGCTAATCAAACCTCTGATCCAATCTCCAGGAAAAAAGCCCGCTACACAATTTGCCCCCAGTCTGAAGTTGTTCACAGACATCCTGAAACTCACCCTGTACCTCAGGTTAAGAATTCCTGGGAAGGTCAAGAGGCACTAGACCTCCTCAGCTTGTAGGCAGAAGGAGACCTCGCAGAGACTATGAGACTAGAAGTGGAGTGGCGTTTGTCACAATTCTGAAAGAAACTAGCTTATCCCAAGCAAAGAACATTCAGATTTGGGACAGGCCACCTCATGTCCCGGCAACCTCTCTGAAGAGTGTGATGGCTCTGCGTCCTCAGATTGCCTCGTCTTTGTCCAGACCTAGATGCGGACCTACTGTCCCCAGCTGGATGGGCTGCGGGGCAGAAACCTGTCAGCTCTGCCTCTCGCCATCGCCCGGAGTTCAGCGCAGTACCTGGCACCTAACCGGTAAAAGTTGGTAGAAGGAATGAACTAACTTGCCAACTTATTCATTGTTACCTTTAGGAATGATTTTGTTTGTTTGTTTTTAAGAGAGAGGTTTTTGCTATAGAGTGTGTGCACTTGCCAGAGATAGCTACAGAAAGAGAGAAATCACCTGAGGCAGGGGTGGGGGTGGGGGTGGGGTGGCCACTCTGCAATCCCTTCTCCTCCATTCTCTAGGGATCTTGGGCACATGCTTGCATGTGAGTTTCAAGCAGTGGGGGTCCAGGACTTGAGCCAGGATTGAACACCTGAGAGTCCAGCCACATAACATCATGTCATCTTCTGGTCGACCCTTTAGAAATTATTTAGTGGACGTAAATATTTTGATTTCCAAACTAATAACATTATTGCAACATTTATTTATTTTTTATTTTTTTGGAGAGGTTTTTGCTATAGGGAGTGTGCACTCGCCAGAAAGACAGAGAGCGCAGAGAGAAAGAAAGTGAGAAATCACCCCCTAGGGGGGATGGCCATGCCGCAATCCCTTCTCCATTCTCCTCTCAGGATCTTGGGCACACACGCACATGCGCCCAGCGTGAGTTTAAGCCACTGGGTCCGGGACTCGAACCGTGGTCAACTACATGGGAGTTCAGCAACATAGCCATTACACTAACTGCTGGTCCTGCAACATTTATTTAACTATCTCAGGAAGCTGCTTTCAGTGTACATTTCTAAGGCCTGGGCTGCCCTCTACTAGCTATTGAGATTCCTCATTTCACCTTCTGGTGTAGGTGCAAGATTAATCCGAACTCCATCCTCTTACAGACTGCTTAGGAATACAAGTCTCCCCTATCCTTGCCCGTTCCAAAGAATCAGTTCTCCCTAAGTGCTCTGACCTGGTGGCCTCCCCCCACCTGCTCCCCTCTGTGTCTCGCACAGCTGCCCTTCCGGGATTGCCCTCTGCTGTCCTGGCTCCTCAGCTCTCCTGCCTGGGGCTCTCTATCTTGAACTCCATGCAGGTCCTGGGATTTACATTTAGGTTTTAGATTTGCTACTTTGATGACCTTCAGGTGCCTCCCCAGAATCCCTCACCCCCAGCCCACAATCTGATGGAAAGATGAACAGACACAGTTGCCAAGATTTGTCAGCCTCTATCTCAGATTACATAACCTACACTCACAAATCAGACTTTTTGCAAAATGGTCTTGAACCAACTGTCTTGTTATCGACTAGAGAGACAATTAATTTCCATTTAGATCAGATAAAGAGAGTCTAACACTTTTGCAAATGTTGCTGTGGTTTGTATTAAGGATGAGTTTCAACTTTTTGGGGCATCTCTCAAGAAATGGGGGGGAACCAAACTTCTGTCTCATTCTTACACTGAAAGAAATTCCAAATAAAGCATCTAAGTAAATGTAAGTAAGTGACCCCAGAGAAAGGTATAAAAGAAAACGTTAAGTTTGGCTACATAAAATTATAACTTCTGTTTGCTGAAAATTATAAGCCAAAAAAGAAATAAAATCAGAAACAAATAAGGAAAGTTTTCACTATATATGATAGAAAATAGACTAATTTTCTAAATAAATAATTTTTACAAACCAATAAGAAAAATAACAATATCCCAAAAGAGAATGGCAAAGAACGTGAGCAGACATTTCACAGAAAGTACAAATGGCTCTACCATGTACGTAGAGCCTAACCCTAACCCTGACCCTGACCCTGACCCTGACCCTCACCCTCACCCTCACCCTGACCCTAACCCTGACCCTGACCCTGACCCTGACCCTGACCCTAACCCCTAACCCTAACCCTGACCCTGACCCTGACCCTGACCCTAACCCCTAACCCTAACCCTAACCCTAGGTCACCCTCACTCACAACCAGAGAAATGCACATGAAAACCACATGAAATTTGAATTTTCAAATGCTAAATTTAAAAACTACCAAAAAAATGTGAAAATGCACTGGTGAGACAGAGTGTGGGCAAACAGGAACTCTCATGCAATGTTACTGAGAGTGTAAATTAGTACAACTGCTTGGAGAGTAATTTGGTTCTAGCTGTTAAATTCTATGTGCCCTTTGCCTCAGTAATTTCACGTGTAGAACTTATTTCACACACACATGCACAAAGATGAGTTTATTTCTGACCTTAAGATGAGTAGAGGGGCCAACAGGTGGTATAGTGGTTAAGGTACTGGACTTCCATATGGCTAACCACAGTTTAAGTCCCAGACATGGTGGCTTGAAAATTACACCGGAAGTGTGTGCGTGAATGCCCAAAATCCCAAGAAGAGACTGGAGAAGAAGAGACTGTGGTGTGGCCATTTCCCCTCTAGGGGTGATTTTTCACCTTCTCTCAGTCTCTCTCTGTTTCTCTAGTGAGCGCACATGCCTGATAGCAAAAATCTCTCTCTAAAAAAAGAGAGCGAGAATAAATGTTTACTGCTACATTGTTTTGTAGAAAAAAAAAGAAAAAAAGAAAGGAGAGAAAGAAAAAAAGAAAGGAAGAGAAAGAAAAAAAGAAAGAAAGAAAGAAAAAGCAAGTCTATGCAAATATGTGCAGTTTAAATGTCCATAAGTAGGAAACTGGTTCAATAAATTACAATACACATAATCACACATGGGTCATTGGGAAAGTCATGACACATTTTCCACAGAAAAATAAGTCATATATATTGTCATTGGAAAAGTCATGACATGTTTTTCTATGCAAATATGTGTCATGACTTTCCTGAGGACCCAGAATATATATAAATACAATGGATTAGTACACACTTGTAAAGAATGAACTATGATATCCAAGATGGACTGTTAAGAGGTCAGAAGAGCACGTATACAGTGATATTAGAAGTGTAAGAAAGAGGGGCTGCAGGTGGCATGGTGGCTTAGGGTGCTGGACTCCCACATGGCTGACCATGGTTCGAGTCCTAGACCTGGTGGCTTGCTTTCTCACTACCCCCCCCTCACCTCTCTCCCTCTCTCTGGTAAAATTTAAAAAATAATAATAGCATTGAT